CCCAGGTATGGCGCGCATGAGGCTTCAAAGCTGTGGTTTTCAAGCTATATTCAAGGTGGCCTGAGACCAGGGTTTGCTGCCCTAAAACACTCTGTTCAGGCCAGCTTCAAAATGACGGTCTGCGAAGCGAGAGCAGAGGATGCATGTTGTCCTTCTGCTGCTTGAGTGTTTTAGGGCAGCAAACCCTCGTCTCAGGCCACCTTGAATGTAGCTTGTACCTCTTACACACCTATACAAGTTCAAAGCACGAATGAGACTTCAAAGCTGTGGATTGCTGTGCGTGTGTAGAGGTAATCGAGGTCTGTATAGGACCGCATAGTGGTCCCAAAATGGAAGCCGCCGTAAGCCACCACGAGTCATCGCAACCACAACGCCTGGTCTCAGGCCGCCTTGAATTTAGCTTGAACAACTGTTTCTTTGAAGAAAAGGGTTACCTATGTGTCGGCAGAACAAGACATGAAGCAGATTTGACACGCGGCCGCAAGAAACCCTCGTCTCAGGCCACCTTGAATGTAGCTTGTACCTCTTACACACCTATACAAGTTCAAAGCACGAATGAGACTTCAAAGCTGTGGACTGCTGTGCGTGTGTAGAGGTAATCGAGCGGTTGACGGAAAGGGAACTTGAAGTACTAGACCTGGTAGCTGCACTATAGCTACCCTGGGTCTCTATAGGACCGCATAGTGGTCCCAAAATGGAAGCCGCCGTAAGCCACCACGAGTCATCACAACCACAACGCCTGGTCTCAGGCCGCCTTGAATTTAGCTTGAAATTTTTTTTTTGAAGAAAAGGGTTACCTATGTGTCGGCAGAACAAGACATGAAGCAGATTTGACACGCGGCCGCAAGCGGCTGCGCGAGCTCATTTTCGTTTGCCTTTCCTTAGCTGAGAGGTGGTCCTTTGCCGCGACGTTGACCTTAACACAACACAATGCCAGGAACCATGTGGAGCGGTCACCTAGACAGACTCTCCAGCAAAAGGGCGTTAGAGTGCCGACAAAGCCTCGCAACTAGCCTAGCTGTCATCCTTTGGATCATATGTCGCTTGTTTTGTCTTTGACCAAGGTCTTTGGAAACAGACCCACCGGCAGCACATGCAATTCCGGGCCTTTTTGTTGGACTACCCGTTTTCCACTCCGGCCGGGGCGCGGGAGAAGGGAACGTTGACCTATGAATGACCTCACCCAGAGGTGAAAGAATCGAGCGGAACTCCAAGTGACCTTTTTCATGGGGCCTTCTACAACCTGGTCGCAGTTGTAGCAGAGTTTGACGAAGACCCCAGAGGCCCGCTTGAGGTTCGTATGAGGTATAACAAGCTTGCCAAGACTTTGCATTTCTTCTGTGGGGGAGGTCCACGTCCAAGTTGTACCAAATCGATTGACTCCAGGAATATTCTGGAGATAGTAAACACCAGATAACTGACTAGAGCCGTTTTTTCTGTTAGATCGTGCTTGACGATGTACAGCTCTTCTCTGCTTGCTTCGACGCGCAGTTGTCGAAAAGGGGAAGCGCTGGCTTTCGTTTTGCAGCTTCTCAGGTCTGTTTGGTAGCCTCTATGTGCGTACGGTCATGCGCCGGGCATATGCTGCCAGGATGCCTAGTGCCATCTTGTACGTGGACCTACGCTCTGCATTCCATTCACTGGTCCGTGAACTTGTATTGGGTGCTGGGTTGGGAGGACCCACTGATCTTCGAGCATTGCAAAAGACCTTGGATCAGGAGGGCTTTGAGGATGAGATCATTGATAAGATCACTCAGACCCATGGAATCCTCCCTGATGGCATTTTGAAGGCTCTGATGCGGGAACTTCATGGTTTTACCTGGTCGACCATCCAGGGGAAAGGAGTGCGTACTGCACGGGGCTCCAGACCGGGCAGCCCCTTGGCAGATGCCCTCTTTCACTGTTTGATGAGCCCCATTGTCAAGCAGATTGAGGAGCAGATAGCTACCAGAGAGCGGCACGTGATGCCTTGCAGTGTCAGGCTGTTCAGGTGGTGTGGGCCGACGACTTGGCGGTGCCTCTGCTGGCAGCCCAGAATGCTGAGATGGAGGATGAGATCCGGAAAGCCTTTGTAGCGGTCTTCAATGTCTTTCATCAATATGGAATGACACTCAATATGAGCAAGGGGAAAACTGAGGTGATGGTGACCTATGCTGGCCCTGAGGCTCGCGTTCACCGTGAGCAGCTGAGGAGGGAACCTCATATCCAGGTAGCAATGAAGCTTCAGGGGGAACCCATGCAATTGGCTCTTACGCGGATTTTCTTGCTGGAGACTTTGGTGTTCACCAAGCTTCTCTACGGTTGCGGCAGTTGGAGTGGACTGACTTGTGCCGACATGCGCAGGCTCACTGTTTGCTATGTTGGCCTCCTTCGTCGGCCACTTGGTCAGGTGAAGACGCACACAAAGGAAGTCCTCACAGATCAGGCGATTCTCCAGAAGACTGGATGTGCCTCTTTGTCAGTTCGTCTGGCTCAGCAGCGGTTTCTCCTGGCAGCACGGCTTGCTAGGTTTGCACCATCTTTCCTGCATGAGGAGCTTCTTCTGGAAGAGGGTGCTATGGACCGGAGCTGGAGGGGTGAGATTGTTGAGGACCTGAATTGGTTGGGCGCCCTGATGGACCTCTCTTCCTGGGGCACCTCCCTTAGCACTCCGTGGGAGACATGGAAACAGGGTAAACCTGGATGGCAGCACGTGCTGAGGACGGCTGTCCGGAAACATGGCTATGTGACTCAGCTAGTTCATCCGCGCATAACTGACCGAGGAGACGAAGATGACACCTTGCAGGACCTGTGGTTGCAGGTTCAATGCCGGTGTCATTGCGGTCGTGGATTTGCAACCAGGAAAGCGGACATCCACGGCGGGGTACATACATGGATCTACTTGCCCAGTTTGCCTACACCACTTCTGGACACGCAATCGTCTTCGCATACACTTCGATATATATATATATATGTGTCAAGAATGGGCAGAAGCAATGTGTGTGCTGCCTGGCTGAAGGAGTTTGGGATCCCGGAAGAGGAACGGGAGGATCTTCCTGCAGATCCCTTCACCTCTCTGACGGGAGCAAAACGGGTGGAGACCGTTTCGCTTTATGGCCCCAAAGTGTTTGGTGCTGAGCGGGACGATGTTCTCGCCCTCGAGATGGACTTCTTGAACCTGAAGAATGACTTGGAGGAATCTGGTGTCTCATTTCGCTCAGATCAGGATACCCTGCTTGTCATTGGGGAGGAGTGCATGAAGGCAGCGGAACGGGATGTGCAAGCATTCTACCACGACTGGGAGAGCATGGATCTTGGCATTTTGCTAGGCTCTCTCTTGCTTTGTGGCATGCAGCAGGACATGGACCAGGAGTGCCGGCGTTGGTGGTGTGAGCTGTTGTCAGCTGAGCCGCGCGGTAGGTCTTTGCTTCAGCTTCATGACTGGGCTGTAGCCATTCAGAAGGTATTGTGCGCAGCGTGAGCGGCTGCCATACTGGGGTTCTAATAGGGATCCGAGCGGAATGCATCGTCCCAGGCTGCCTGTACACCCGGAAGTGGTGACACCACATGGCACCCTGGCAGTTAGGCTTTGCTCGCTTCGGAGTTTGCGCGCTTTGGCTTGTGTCTAGCCAGCCTTTCTGTAATTCAGCTTTTGGCATTTGCTGCTTAACTCCACAAGCCATAGGCTTTCGACTGGATGCGAATGAAAAAATACTCCCTCCCATGTGACTATTGGGATTCGACATCAGCAAGATATTGTTGGTTTTAAGGATTGCGTTCCTGGACGGAACATTGTCAATCTAATTATCTATATCCCAGACACTCCACGTATATGCCATATATGCCGATCAGTTGGGGTGGTTTGAGGGGTCAATCGGGTGGCATATATGGCAGTCCCATGGAGTGTCCGGGTATTATAATTGTGTTCTGATCCCTGGTTCTAGTGCAGATCGCTTCCCCTCCTCCTCAGCATCAGTGCTTCCGCTCCTCCTCAGCTCATGAGTCCCTTCCCAGAATCACTTGAACTCTGATTTCTGACGACCCCGTGACGCCTCCAATCACCTGCAGTTGCTGCAGTCCGTCGCTTGCCATCGTGTCACCCAAGGCCTGGAGCTTTGCCATCGCCCGGCCCGTGCCGGGTGCCTCCGCGGCGCAGAAGGTGGCGGAGATGGCGCTGCGGATTTTCCCGGACTTCCAAGCACAAGGCGCCGCACTTCGACTCAAAGGAGACTTGCCGTGCCCCCGCAGATTCGAATTCGCAGACACCGCTAGTGGAGGGGAGTTTGGGGGTCAGGATCACCCACCAGGTGGTGGGACGTCAGTTTTCTTTCGATGCAGCGGGTTCAGTAGTCGATGTTTTTCGATGTGGAACAGATGGGATTTGCTGAAAAACAGTCAATGTTCTTCCCCGCCAAATCATTTGCATTTGCTGAACAGAAGCAAAACAAGGTGATTTTGGATGGTTGAAGGCTCCCGGGTGACTCCCCTAGCGATGGATCAATATGTATTGTTTTGTTTCCGGATTCCCGTGCTTTTTGAAGTAGAATCCGAACAACATCCTCTACCAGGACCTTCCAAGGGGTGTTTGTAAATAGCCTCGAGCTGGAGGTGGTGAGTCGGGACACTCCAACACCACCAGACAAACGGTTTCGGTCCTGGTACCTGGGATGTGAACCGAACCTTAAAACGTTTGCGCGATGGACCAAAAACTTCATGGCCGGCAGACAGCAGGCGCAGCCTGTGGAGTGTCCCACCCTCAACTTGTCAGATAAAGCACAGTGGGACTTCCTCTCCGGTTAGTGTGCACACTTTGCATCAGCTGCAGTTTCTTGGTCAGGTTTGGCAAACACGGCTTGGGCCATGGCACGGCTCTTGGCAGATCCAGAGGTGCCTGGCGTCTCGGGGCGGCCGGTGAAGATTTGTTTTTCATGTTCAAGAAGGTGCCTTTTCCAGACAAGTTTGTAAGTACAGACAAGATTAATTACATAATTACACAAGAGTGATTTTGGAAAAGGTTGACATGAGGCGTGAGCCACCTGGCAAACTACTGCAGCGATCATCAAAAAACATGAATTCTTTGTGCAGGAATACTACCATTCGTCAGTCGATGTCTTATCAGATACCCGTTGCCCGAACCCAAGACGCCCAAGACTTTGACCACACACACCCTCCCGAAGAATCCGAAAACACACATGCCTGAGGATTTCAGCCTTTTCATCCTGCTTTCCTCTAGCTGCACCAGTGCTTTTCGACTGCCCTTCCGCGCATCCCAGCCGGTCCTTCCGCCAGTGGTGCAGGGCTCAAGTGAGCGACGGCTTTTGGTCATGAGCTCAGTGGAAAGTGACGGAACTGGGCGAGGAACCATAGGAAGGCACTGTAGGGATCGGTATGTATGGAGTCGAACTGTGAGTTTGTACCTTGGACAATGGGTACCAGATGGTACCAGTATGTGCGTTTTGTCCTTTAAATCTCATGCAATTTTCGACTCTAGGGTACGAACGAGTTCGTCCAAGTATGGTCACCCGGTGAGGTTGTTTCAGGTCTGGTCGACGGTGACAACTCAAGGGGTCGGCAGTCACCAAGATGCCCTATATCAGGACCCCTTAAGGAGTGTCCATTAATAGCTCCTTAGAGGTAGACGAGTGTCTATTAACCACCCCTTATAGGATCCTATAGTCGGGATATGTAGGGATCCACATGGTGTGTTTCCCAGTCCACGCTGTAATAAAAGCATATAAACTCATAGCATATCCAACTACCTGTGAGCTCTTGAGAGCTCTTGGCCTGCCTAAACCATCACCCCCTGTTACAGGGAATGGGATACACCACGTGTTCCCACCGTCGCGGGAGGGCGGCGATGTGGATCGCATCGCTGGAAGTGATGGAGAAACCAACGGATCAGATCGGCAGAGAGGTCGGATCCGACCAAGTATCCGCCCAGACACAGAAGAAGGTTTGCGGGGAGGTTCAGCCTCTCAAGACGTCTCATTGATCTATGATCCCGAGTATATAGATCGAGTTTAGACATCTTTTGAAGCTCAACGTTGAAGACACAACTATGACATCCCCATGACCTTGTTCTTTAAAAGCTGAACGCCTTGCTGGACCTTGCTCCGCCCAAGGATTGCATTGCACAAGAGGTGGCCAAGAATGCCCGTGCGCGCGGCCCTAGCAACTCTTAGAGGCTACACGGGAAGCAGAGTGTGTCCAAGCTTGAAGAGTTTATGATCCATTTGTGAGTGTATTATAAAGAGGGAGTCTCACAGAGCAACACCCATCCATCAAGGATGGAACAAAAGGAGAAGTGGCCGAGCAGCTTCGGTGAAGATTTCGATGGACACTTGTACCAGAGTCCAAACCTTCAAAGTGATCTCCTAGGTCCTAGCTCTCATAGAGTCCCTGTGAATGTGCTCTCTCCTTTGTTTAGGGGATGTTTTTGATCTCACATTACTTAAAATTGTTCGTCATTTGTTTGCTTCAATCTCGCAACCTGGAGTCTCAGTTTCAGTTCGTACAATGTCCTCCCTGTGTGTTTTGCCTTATAAGGACACCTCCTACCAGCCCCCTCAAAACCGCCCGCAGGGCGGACTCTCGTCGACTCCGAACCAGGACTCCGCACCGAGGATTTCACCCCACAAGGCTTGGCCAATATCGGCTGGGCCTTCGCGACCCTGGTGTGGTCCGGAAGCTCAACATGACCGGTCCATCCGATAAGGAGTCGTGCTTTTGCGAGAACACGTGGTGTGTGTGTGTGTGTGTGTTTGTGTTTTGATCGAAAAGGCCTGGAAAAGGCCCAAAGAACAAGGTCTCCAAAAAGGCCTCGAACTGAAGAAGCTGGTGATGGACATCTCACTACAGTAAAGCCCCAGCATTCTGTAAAGCCAAACAAGAGCCTTTGATAGCCTTTGTCATTTTGTATGCGTGTCCTCTTACAACATCTCACAAAATGCCTGGTCCAAAATCACCATGCTCATTCTTATGGGTCTCACAGCAGTTTGGGCGGATTTGCTTTGAGCACTTCATGTTCGAAGACAAGAGAAAGCTCTTTGGGGATAGACAGGGGTTGAATCATATTGAAGGTCCTGGCCCTGGGTGTTTCTTGTTACAGTTCCACTGTTGCAGTCTGTATTATACTATACATTGACACTCACCAAACCTTTTTGTGCATGCACTGTGCACTGTGCATCACGGTGCACCACCCTTGGCCACCCTTTGTTCTGAAGTAATTCTTTTGACCATCAAAGGCGATGATTCAGGAGGTCCACAGCGTTGCCATGGTCCACGAACAAAACCCATGGGACGAAACAGCCAACCCTTCCGACCTGGAACTGCTGAAACGTCCGATGAAGCCCTGGCGGCTTCAGGATCCCAAAAGGGGTGGTATTTTTGGGAGGTCCATGGAGGTCCACAAGCCCTCCAGATCAGAAAGGTACGGGCAAAGACAGTCGACGTCTAGCGCCGGCCCTTCACCCCAACCACCAGCTTCGAATCCGACTTCCAGTCGGGCCCTCCCAGGTGGTTTCGGTACCGTTTCGGTCACCGGTCGACCCCGAGAAGGGGTCGTGGTTGGGATTCGGCAAGAATGGACCCATCATCGAGACCTTAACATCCACAATGAGCGAGACGAGGACCGGATCGAACCGTTGTAATCGATCATCCAGAGCCCCCTGGATGATCCTGGATGTTTCATAAACATGTTTTATAAGCAAATCAATTCGATGGTGGATTCCCAGCATCAGTTGATCTTGTTCGTGGCAAGTGTGGCAAGAGTGGAGAACTTCACTTTATGAGGTGAGCCTAGCCACTTTGGGGTGATGGGGGAAGGAATCTATGTGGAGTCTCAGTTCGTCCCATTTTTTAGGGTACCAACTGGAATCTTGAGATCCGTGGATTGATATGTTGTTTCTGTGAGCTGTTTGCCGTTGAGAGCTTCGGAAGCAAAAAGAGGGAGATCAACTTTTTGTGGCGTTCTTGGTCCATGAGCCGCTGTCACTCCCAGACCACTCTGATATCGATCGCGCCCAACAAGCACTTTGCTGGCTCAGACATCCAAACTTTGACACACCCAGCCAATAGAAAGATGTTTTCAAGCTGAAGATGTCTCATCGAAGGCGTTTCGGAAGGCTCGCCCACACCATTGTCCTTTAGTCCAGAATCGAAGTTCAAGCGACTTCCACCCCTGGATCCGTCTCAACCGCCCTTGCGCTGGGTTTTCGCAGCCTGTCCGTCGGCTCCTGACCATCGGATGGCCATGGACAATGAAGGCTTGAAGGAACCCCCAAAGGATGCGGATTGGAGGGTGGACCGTGGAAAATGGGGGTTTCCGTGATGAGATCAAGGACGCATGGAAGGACACAGATGCAGAAAGAAATGGACAATTCTGAGCCCTCCTTCACTGTTTTCTTCATGAGTGGTATGACCTCATAAACTGGGTGCAAGTAATGACCATCTTCTATATGGTCAGGCCCCATGGGTACGAATTGGAGGGTCCAGGTTTTGTTTTATGTTATTAAGCCCTACCCTAAGAATCCGGGCTCTCAAACAGATAGGGTTTTGAGGGCCCAGACCCTTGCTATGGAGGGTCCGACCCCTGCCATGGAGAGCCCAAGGATTCTTAGGGTAAGCAATAATGCGCAAGTACCAGGATCCCCTGTCGGCGTGGTCAAGTTCGACACAAAAGGCTATTGATCGACACCACGAATTCAGCGGGGCTTTGGTTCTTTTTTGGCGGTCGAGTTGCTTTGCGTCTGAGTTCGTACCTTCCAACATGGGTATGTACCCCTAGGGCTCCTGGCCCACCTCCTGAGGTTCGATGGTTGGGGTGGGTGCCAGGGGGGTCTAACCACCGAACCTGAGGATATGGCCCAGGAGGTACAGTCCGTTTGACCTGTTGTTGTCGGGTCCTCGTTACATCGGGTCCCACCGTCTTCGGCCGCGCGGCTTCGCTGGGGCGACCAGTCGCCCCAGTCGATGGAGCGCCGATGAACACAGGGCGATCGTCCTTTCGGAGGAGTTGGGACAGGAAGCACTGAGAAAGACCTTGGAACATCATGCAGTCACCCTATGGATCCACTACCAGCACTATGTTCAAAGGTATTTTGGAGGGTCCAGGTTTTGGTTGTTTTACTGGCATGCTTGGATTTTCCATTTGGAGGCCATCTCAGGTAGGCAACTTGGGCATTGTTCGATCAATCTAGGACCTCCTGTACCGATGTTTGATCACCTTTCGGAAGCACTTTGCGGCTTCTTCCAACCAAAAACCCTGTTGCCTTCTTGAGCTGCTTTTGCCGGCGAGGTTGGCAGACGCTTTTGCAAGAACCGATGCTGAGCCTGGAGGATGATTTGCAGCTTGGCAGGGGCAGGTTTGATGCGCGGATTTCACTGTAACACAACACCTGATAGGATTCGGATTGGAATGGATTTTGCTAGTAACATTCTAGATACCAGGACCTTCCAACAGGTGTTTTTTGGACACCCCCTTTACCTTTATATAGGCACCTCTTGGATGGTCCTGGTATAATATATCTGATTTTGCCTTTTGGCTGATGTTATCGATGCAGTTCGGCATCAATTTGGCACGCTTGGAAGATGTTCGGCATTCCAGATCTTCCCCTCCAATTCGGGGCGTCTCCACATCTAGGATGATCGTTCCTTGCTCGATGACTTGCTTTCGTTCCTCGCTCGAGGTCCTTGATGCTGGAACAGCAGCAAAGTGCCTTGAGAGCTGCCATGCGTGCCCACCAGAAGAGCATGTTGAAATTGCTCGGCTCGCTGAGGCCGCGGACGAGTCTCCGAAAACCTTACCGCTTCCCGATGCCTGGACGGCGATATGTTTTGCTTGTTTGGAATGCCTGTGAGTAAATTGAGCAGGATGAGATAGAGAAGGATCCGAGGCAGGAGTCTGGAAGTGTGTTCAATTCCTAATCAACCAACTTCAAGACACCGTTGCCGTTGCTGTTGCTGCTGCTGCTGCAGCTGCTGCTGGTGGTGGTGTTGGTGTTGGTGTTGGTGTTGGTGTTGGTGTTGTTGTTGTTGTTGTTGTTGTTGTTGTTGTTGTTGTTGTTGTGCATAATCCAGGAACCGACCATGTTTGGCCTTAACATTATTTTATAGACTTCGATGCAGTTTCGGAGGTCAATACAAGTTCCAACATGTTTGCCTGGAGTCTCAATACAAGTACCTGTTTGTTTGTTCGTGTCATGTCCCATTTTCTGAGGTACTCGACTAGACTAGCGTCATATCAACCTTGCTTGGTGCGTAGCTGTCGCCGGAACCCGGCGGGGCGCCAGGAATAATGGCAACATCTCACCTGAGAGTCAGGGCTCCTCCGAATCGTTGCTCTCACACGATGCCAGCGCACAGGCCGTTCCGGGTAGTGACGCCATTGGTCCGGGGGGTTCCCCGGATGGACGATCAACGAACTGGAACTGTTACTTCATGTTACTGACATAGATGGGTCATAAATGGGTTCTATACATGATGGTAGATGCGTGTGATATGATACCCAAGTCCGTGGATCACCTGCCCAACCAGAAGTCCGTTTCGTGGGGATTGATATCACACGCCACGGCAGATGGATTGGGGACACGGAGTGCCATCGGTTCGCCGAAGTCTTTTCCACACTGTGGGGTCATCCAGCAACCCCACCTGAGCATGACGGAAAACTACAAGAAGAATGTAGCTTGAGTCTGTCCATTTCTTTTTTGTAACAGTTGGTAAAAGCACTGATCACTATGTTAGAGAAGGGCCTCTACTAACCTCGGTATGGTATGTCTATTCTTCATTTTCGGTGGCACACGTTCAGAGACCCACAGCGACTCAATCGACGCCTCGCTCTCTGGGACTCAAGGGCCTCGGATGATGATTCCTTGCTCAGAACTGATCATCCTTGCTTTCCCTGGCTGATCATGAAAAGAACTCAGTTCATCTCAGATCATGAAAAGAACTCAGAGTTCAGTCCCAAAAACGATGGTTTTTGGTTTCTTGACCATCCTTATAGGCTCAGGCCCAGAGGAGGCACCAAGAGGGTGTGTATTTTTGGGTGTGGCTCCACCGTCGCGGAGGTCTCGTCCGCCACACCACGCGTGGCGCTCCCCCCTGCCCCCGGACTCGTGGCCATGCGTTCTCGGCCGGCCACCGCAGATTCTGGAACTTCGAGAGGCGGACCTCATCCCGTCACATGGCGGAAGACCCGAGTTGCGTCAGGGGCGCTCGCGTGCGCTCCAACCTACAGTCCGGAAGACCTTTTGTCGATGGGAATTTGCGGGGAGACCTGTGGACAGGTGGAGACTATAGCTATACCAGGGCACCCGGCCGGTTGCGGGGTGTCTTTCTTATAGCTCCTTAGAGGTTTTTCGGGCTATCCATGAATCACCCCTTAGTAAGGGGGCCCTGGTATGTGTGTTCTTCGGGTCATGTCCCATTTTCGAGGGTACGAAGTCGGGCCCAGGTAAATGTTAAACGAAATATACCAGGCCCTCCAAGGGGTGCCCAATGGAAGCCTATAGGTAGTGTGGGGTAGTCCATTGGACACCCCTTGGAGGGTCCTGGTAGAATGTATTATACCATGGATCCTTTGACGGTGCCGCAAGGCCCAAAGTGATGGTTTTGTTTTCATCTATCAAACCAGCCCAAGAGGCAAACAACAAGGCAGAAGTTGGAAGATCCATGCACCTATCAGAGCCACGTGTCCTGACACCTTTGAAACGACCTCTTGTTGGAGGATGAAGTTTTGTTTTTGGGAAAGAAGCACCAACACAGATTGATGCCTTCACCTATAAGGGAGGAACTGGATGTTGTGCTACTGTATCATGACGAGCATTGTTTTGGGTGTACTCTCTCCATTGACCGCCCCTTTCCTGCATTATTCCAAGATGGTTTTGGTGTGATTCCTGTGACCCATCCCCAGATGTCATGTTGCCTTCTTGGGGGACTTGTTTACGGAACCTGTCTGTGGAGTGTGGAGGAGTCTGGATAACGATCACGCGCTGAAAACAGAGGTTGTTTCCTTTGGAATCCGTTGGCATTCTTCCCAAGTCACCAGTAACACTTAATTAAGCTCTGCAAATGTTTGACATATGTTGACATGTTTGCCTGTCGGGTGCCCAATAGAAATCAGTAGTGTAGGGGCTTCCATTCATGACCCTGTAAGGAAGGTGCTGCAATGTTCCGAGGGTCCGCACGAAGGTCCATCAGATAATAAAATCATCTCAAGCATGGCTGATATATGGGTCCCAAGACTGGACCGATAGAGATGGCCAATACCTGAAATCAAGATGGTTTCGTGGATGGCACCGCAAGCACGCGGTCTTCGGAACATGGTCATCCAAAATCGGGGGGCCAAGCCATATTGTTTGATATCGATGATTTGTGTAGGGATGCAATATACCTGCAGCCTGAGTTTTGGTATTCCGGAAATGGGGTCCGGGTCATGTCCCATGTTCATCCATGTTGGGTACGACACCGGTCGTGTCGTGTCGTGTCCTGGTCACCGGTCGTGTCGGACCGCGAACGAGACGAGACATGAACGGTACGCGAGAACATGAGCGCTCGGCTTGACGGATGGCCTTCTAGTGTACCATCCTTCATCCAACACCGGGGTGAGAACCGTGAAGGCTAATCAAAATAATATAATATAATAGTGACGCAAGGAGACAAGAGAAGCTTGGAAGTGCTTAGAGACTTGGAGCCAAATCGACCCGAACCACGGATAGCGACCGGTTCCGCTCCGTCGTTCACGACGGCTCGACCCGGTTCCTGAAGACCGGGATTGGTTCGGGTGACTCCTTCATCTACGGCCACTACTTGGGAGGGTCCAGGGTCGCGTCTGGGTATTCCATTCCCTAAGGGTCCAGGACCATCCTGAGCATGTCCTTCGGCCCCAAAGACCATTCTCAGGAAGTACTTTTACCTCCAAGACCATCGTCAGGATGGTCCTGTACCCTCAGGGATTGAAAGTTTCAAAAACCATCCCAAAATCTAGGACATTGAGGGCCAACAATATGGAAACATGAAACATGCTAAATGGAGGCAACGATTGTTGCATGGGAAGAAAACATCCCATCGGAGCCTTTCTTCCCATTCCTCCATCAACAGGGAGGACATCGGTGGGAGACCATAGGGATCCAGTCGTACTTTCTCAGAAGGTGATGTCAATGTTCGACACTGTAGGTGTCAGGATCCAGATCGTACTGAACCTGAGGTACGGTACGACTAAATCACCAGGCTGAGATTGAAGAGGATCCTGTCATGGACCCGACCACCGGGGCTCCGACTCCGAATCTGTATCATCGGTCACCCTTCCTAAGGAGGTGACCGAACCTCGCTTCGATCGGTTGTTGTTGTTTTTTTGCTGTATGTGTTTTTTCTATGTTTGTCAGCCTTTGTATTTGTTTCGTCGATTTGGGGTCGATCATGCGCAAGGAAACCACGGCAGCTGGCCATTCAGCCCAAGGACTGACGTTCTCAAAGTGAGCCTTTGGAATGGTCTTTCCGGTCTTTCCCTATCGGGCTCCTGGTCTTTGGTTTTTCCTCAGGTGGGGACTGACCCCCAACTCCATCACCCAACTCCATGCGGTCGATGGAAACTCCGTCACCCAGACCCTCCATGTATGACAGATTTACAGTACGTACCTACATTGACCCTGAAACCACCCCAATGGAGGTATAAACCAGCACCACGGATTCCGGGTGTCCATTGATAGCCAGGAGGTACGACTGGGCCCTACATAAAAGTCTCCGTCCTCACCTTACCTGAGAAGGTACTTGGACCCCTAGGGATTGTATGTCACCTGAATGTCATCACTGTGTTGGGTCTTTGTCCCCCATCGATGGGCGAGCTCTTATCGGGCTCTGAGAGTCGTGAGGATTGGAGCTCAATTTTGGTGTTCAGTAGAAAGGCGAAAGAAATTGAAAAGAACTCTGAGTTTGCCACGGTTTGACTCCACAACTAGGCCTGACTGGGACTTCAAAGAATGTCATGTCGCAGTTGGCTCGGGTTGGTTTGGTGGCCTTTGGGCAAGGGGGAGGGGGCTACACCAAATAAGCTTGGATTCTCCCCCAAAAAGGTATACTGTACCTGTACCCCATATATGGATCCTTTGCCTGGCATTACCACACTTCTGCCTGTTGGCTGGCGTGTATACATGGTCACAAAACGCGTCCACCGTGGGAGCCCGACCGGACCGCCACGGCGCCAGGAGTATAGAAGTTGCTTGGACTCACCGCTGGGCACCGCCGTCGCGGGGCATCAACCCATCCTCTCGGAGAGCTTGGAGGCGAGGGAGTCAGAGTGAGGGTCTCGGGGGTCGAGACGAGGTCGGGGGAAGGCCTAGCAACCCGTTTTGATGCGACCTGGTTCTGGGATTGTACATCTTTTGGCTACCTTGGGGTGGTTGAAAAGGGATCAATGTATATCTACCCAGTCAGTGGATAACCTTTGAACCTCTTTGGGAGTGGGGACACCCCAATAGAGAAGAACAGGGTGAAAAGGGGGTGGCCTTTTTTTAACGGAAACTTGGGAGTCCCTATATATCCATACATGGAGTGTGGATTATGATTAATGTTCTGTTGAGGGGGGTTGACATGTTGACGTTGACATGGCACCTTCATCCCGGACACCATTGGAACATGGCCAAGAACAATTCTTTGGCGTAGTCTGTTAAGAAACCTCGTTGGAGCTACAAAGAGAATCTGGCCGCTCCAACCTGTGCCCTACTAATTGGCCTGTTTGGGAGCTTTCCTATTCGGGCTACCTCCAATGGGTGCCAGGAGGGTCCAGTCATACCGAACCTGAGGAGGTACTTGATGTAATTATACTTGGAGCCGGGTTTGCTTGATATGCTTCATCATCTTCCTCGCACACATGACCCTCCCACAGCGCTGGCCTCGTGTCGACGTTCTGGTTGGCATCCCACCCATCCCTTCCGTTTCGCCTCGCTTCCTTCTATCTCCCACCCGAGCCAACCCGGACCCGAGCGGTCGACCGCCGCTGCCACGCTCCAGGTGGAACTTCCACCATCGCCACATCCGGAGGCGGACTCCCAACTCGCCAGCGTGGCCGCCTCGCAGGACCGCGACTGGTGCGACTCCGGAGCGGGGTGTATAGAGTCTACTTGGACCGCAGGAAAGAACACCAAGCAGTCACCGGTGGGAGGGGGAAGATGAGGTCGAACAACCGGACATCCAATGGTGTGTAGCATGGAGTCTCAGTTCGTACCTCGGAAAATGGGTGCAAGATGGTACACGCACCTATTCCTATAGGTGATATCCCATTCTATAGGGTACTTTGGAGGGTCCAGGAAGTCTATCAGAGGGAACCTAGGAGCAGGATGTTAGGATGTTGGAGTACTGCAGCAGTTGGGAAAACATGATTGCACTAGATCATGTGATCGCCTCGTTCTCCTTCAGAATGCCTCCAAAAGAACGCCCGCTCTTCCAGCACCCTTGTTCGATTGGCACCCGTCCCGAATGCTCTGATTCGGAATCACCCAAAATCGCCACTGACATCACCCAAATTGTCAGCTATTGTTGCCGTTTTTTTCCCTAATGAGGGAATTGTTCGGCATGGGAATATGTGTGATTTCTTCCCGGCTTACGAACACGCAAATCAAACCACCCCCCAAACAACCTAAATGCAACCTAAATAGTCTATGGTACAAGGTTTCATGGAGTGTTTGGAAGACCTGCAACTCCAAGTTTGCCACCCCAAGACGCTGCACCTGGGCGTTGCCGCGTTGCCCCACGAACGTCACCACCATCCCAGGATGCCGCGGACGTCACCACCAGGTGGAGCGGCCGGCGGGCGCCGTGGGATCGAGTGCGAAGAGATAAAGCTTGATCCGAAACCTGCACCCGAAACCTGCCAAATCACTGAGTTTGCCACTGAAAAGAGTCTGCAGTCTGCAGATTAAAACCTGTTGGAGGGTGCTGGTATAAGGAATAATATGAATTTATCTCACGTGTTTTTTGCAGTCGAGCCGGTGGTTACCCTATACTTGGGAAAGGCGGACGTCGTTGACCAAAAAGGGCGGGGGTCGGAACAAGGAACGTTTCGAGCTGTGCACCATTACTGAAGTTCTACCCTATATAAAACCAGGTCAGCCGTTTTTTAACCCTACACTTCCAGTCGTATCTCCTCAGGTTCGGTATGACTGGACCCGAACATGGCACCCACCCCAGTCCCACCGAACCTCAGGTTCGGTACGACTGGAGGCCTAGGGTACAAAACCAGGTCAGCCATTTGTTAAAATGATCTTGGAAGTCTAAGGCTTCGTTGTGTGGTCCAACTCATTGACTCGTTTTTGCGTACTTGTGGAGTTCCGTATGTATACCTTCAGGTCACTCCCATGTGGTTTTAGTCTTGGAGACCAACACAGAAACGTGGCAGCCTGAGAGTCAAACATGGGGTTTACACACCTCGCAGTGGTTGGGTGTCTCGATGTGTCTCACTAATTGTATGGGAAGATCCCATTAACCCTAGGGCTCCTGGCCCATATCCTCAGAAGGTGGTTGATTAGAACCCCGTGGCACCCACCCCTGTCCCAGCTTCGAAACAGAGGTCGTTGGAGCCCTAGGACAACTCGTGCAAAGATTCTGTTGTTGTTTGGTCCCTAGGGCTCCGAACGCCCCATATCCTCAGGTTCGGTGGGGACAGACCCCCAAAACCACCCACCCCAACCATCTTCGAAACGGAGGTGGGCCAGGAGCCCTAGGGTAAGTCAATATGTGTTCATCAGTTCACAAGTGTCACTCATCTTTTGGCTCGGTGAAGACCACCTTTGATCTTCCGGAAGTGGATGGGAAGAGCCATGTAGCGATTCTCGGATCACGACATTCCTCGGATCCATGGCCACCGTACCTCAGGTTCGGTACGACTGGACCCTCCAAGCCTATCATAATATCATAAAGATCTCCAATCACTCTCTCAGAGGGTATGTGGATCCATAGGGTAAAATAAAGCATATAGTATATGCTGTGGTGTGAAGAGGTTGAAGACTCCTCAAATTGTACATGGCTCGATTTCTGGCTGCAAGTGAGAGCGTGATGATCCACTTCTGGACTTTTGGCTGTGTTTCTTTCCGAGACCTCCTGTCCTAGCTCGCTCTTGGGCACCGCATGGAACCCTGTGCCCAGTTTGGTAAATGGTCCTGATATACACACAAACATATATATATATATATACCAGGGCCGCCGGTTTCGGGGTGTCTAATTAGAGCTCCGCCTGAGGTATCATGGGGTATCTTTTTTAACAACTCCTTCTTAGGGGGCCCTGGTTATTTGCAGTTTATGTTACCCAGGCAACACAACATAGTACACAAAAAATATCACACAAACATATCCCCTGAGCGTCCTCAGGCGTAAAAAAAACCACTGAGCCTGCTCGGAGGTTTTTTAGCCAACCGAGGTTTTTTGACCAGAGGTTTTTTAGCCATGACATTGATGTTCCTGAAGCTTCGGAACCAATGTCTGGAACCGATGTTTTTTTGCCACGGGAACCGATGCATTTTGGCCAAGGGGCAAAGTCTCCTGTTTAGGCTGACAAAACCAAAGCTCAGGGTCTTAACATGGGACAATCCAACCACCACTCAAAGTCATGTGCCCACGGACCAAAGCACTTTCTGCCCCGTTTGGGTCATGTTTGTGGGTCCACTAGCTGACCAATGCATGGGTCCCTGGTGCCCACATGGACGATGCCTTGCTGGAGTACGCCTTTGTGGATTCCCTTCCAGATGGTGGTGAAGGTACGCCCTCCACCTGTGCTGGGTTTTGAGCGAGAACTTTTTATCGAATCGATTCGCATTCTGCTGGGTTTTGATGTCACGCACGTGAGCTCATGTCCCATGGGTGTGTTTGCACTGCACCGAGTTCTTACCCAAGCCCCTGACAAGGATGATCACTGTCCGCCAGCCATTTTTCCAGCGATGTCCCGCATTCGAAGACTGCGCAATGCACGGCCCGAGATGCTGTCTCTCCTTGAGGCGGCAAGTGTTGGCATGCGCTGGGGGGATCTCTCAACCACTATGAACGCCCTTTGTAAGTGGGGGTATACTTGGTCCGTCTTGATTCTGCCAGGAATTCTATGGTGAATGGGCCCGCAAAGAGGAGTGGGTCAGAGAGCGGAAGCGGGTAGCCAAGCGCTTGGCACCGAAAGGGTTTGCAGTTTGGATGCATTTTGATTCAACTTGATCAATCCATGTTCAAAACCTATTTTTGGTGAAGAGTCCATAAGATTGGAAGAACACTGGTCTAGTTACGGCAAAGGGGGTTCATGGGGGTTCGATCGGCTTGGGTCATCTGAGGCTCCAAAATTTTCCTTCATCGACTTGGGTGGTGGTGGTGCACCTCGAGAACACAAGAAAAAATCATCCGGAAGGTTTGTGGTGAGCATATTAGAAGCTGATGCCAAGGGCTCAGGTTTGCACACACCTAGCTGGTCCATCCCTGCTAAGTGACCCAGTGACCCGATGCCCAGGCTGAGAAAAACTCTGAGTTCTTGGGTGACTACCTGGCCAGCTTTGCAGGAAACCCTCCCCGGAAATTGGAGGTGGAGGCGTGGTGCGAGCGCCTCCAAACTGTGGAAGTGAGTAGGTTTTTTTTGTCAGGAGGCATTGGCAAAAACCGCGATCGCCTATGGTCTCAACCCCACTTTTGCAGACTGGCAAAATGAAGCAAGCAGCCCAGTTTTGGCATGAAAGCGTAGCTAGTTAGTACAGTGGTGGAGCATGTAGATTCAGCGAATTACCGAGGCCTGGGCCAGGACTGAAGGGAACATCCACCGAGCCCTTGCAGGTTACGCTCTGAAGTTGTTTCAGAACAATCGGAGCGCAAGGCAGGCTGGCTGGGACAACTGGGTGCCCAAAGTGTGTGCTGAATTTTGTCTACTTGGCTTGGCACAGGCCTGGACATCAGGCAATGAATGAGCTGAAACTTATCATCAAGGGTGCGCTAGAGGCCTGACCCTATGAGACTTTCTACTTCTCGAGATGTCCGTATGTACCGTACGTCTGATCTGTGCAGGAAGCGGGAATGCTCACAGAAGCAGGTAGGAAACTACCGAGCCGTGGCCCGAATAAGAAAAGTACCGCGGAGGAGAGCTTCCATGGCTGCATGCGCTATCTCGATAGATTTTTCTGATCCAAATTTCCCAGGCCCTAGAATATCTCTAACGATTATACCGGCCGGCCAGCATGCAGGACCAGGAGCGCAATGAAGGTGAGATGGAGCAGCAGGAAGATGAGCCACAAGAAGAGAGAGAGCCGACACCAACCGAACTTGAAGTTTCCATCCGCTCCTTTGAAGGGGGCGAAGAGGAAGAGCGTACCGATGATGAGGCAATAGAGGCGTGGTATGAAGATCATGAGAATGGACGACCCCTTAGAGGTGAACCTCAAGCTCATGTTGGATCTGAGCAGGATCAGCCCGAGAAAGCGGGCGCTAATGATGAAGCCGCCAGTGATCCACCAAGTGATGAAGCAGCCAGTGATCCACCAAGTGATGAAGCAGCCGGTGATCCACAGAGTGGTGGAGGGGTCAGGCCAATCAAGCTAGAAGAGAAGCTTGTGAGCGATGATGAGAAAGAGGGAAAGTTTGCAAACAAGGAGACTAGACACAGAACATGCACATGTCAAGTCTTTCTAGGGAATAATGCAATGGGCTCCCAATAGAGATTCCTTTGGATCCATTCCCTCATTCCCTACTCAGCACAAGTCAGTATGGTGTGACATCAGCAACAAGTTTGCCAGGACCGGAAGCCACTACTTCCAGAAGAACCTTTGGAGGATGAGGACTTGGAAGGGGAAGCTGATCGACTTGCTCAAGAACTTGAGAAGTCTTGCCCGAACAGTGTTGACTTGGTCAAGGCAATTTGGGTCAATGCATGCTAAATAGATTCATAGCTAGCTAGCTGATATACGTCATGTGATTGAACTTTTCCAACTAGCGGAGGCCCAGAAGGCTCTGAGAAAGTCTGTACGCCAGAAGCCTGAGTCTGACCCTGAAGACCAGGACCGCGATTTCAGGGATGGTCAAGATTCTGAGGACGAAAGGGCTGGAGGTCGCAAGAGGGCGAGAGGCAGAGGGAGAGGGAGAGGAAAAGGAAAAGGGAGGGGAAAAGAAAAGGGGAGAGGAAGAGCAAGAGGGAGAGGAAGAGGAAGAGGGAGATCGAGGGGAGGGGAGAACGAAGATGAAGAGGACCTTGCAAAGTTCGGGCCATACGCCAACTCAGTGTCCATGGAACGTGAGGCGATGCGCGTTTTGTCGCCAGGGACAGGAAGGGGAATCATGAAACGTCCCAGCGCCAGCGATGAGACCAGAGAATTTGAGGCACCTCCCCGCAAAAGACCTAAGGAATCCTCCAAACCCCAACCTGCAAAGAGCGAAGCGCCACAGGACAGCAAGGAGGCAGGGTTCTCAACTTGTCCTACATACTCTCTCGCGCAGCAATGCTTTTTATTTTTATTTTAGTGTGAAAGATCGAAACGGTTTAGTCCCGACCTGGGCTACAAGCCTTAATTCATTAATTCAATTTCAATGATTAATCCTAAAATCTGTGCAGCAGGCCCAAAACCTAAACATCGTCAAGGGCATCGCCAAAAGGGACAAGTTGATGGTGATTCCGGAGGACTTTTGCGGCAAGCCTAGCTCTCAGAAACCAGCTTTAGCAGTTGATCTAGCGCTGTATTTCAAGTTCGATCAAATCTCTCAATATTGGTCTCTTAAAAGCTGTGCGTGGCAAGGTCATTCACTGTACAACCTCCTTTTGAAAAGGGAACAGCCATTGGTGTGTT